GGGAGCCTGCATTGGGCTGCCGGGGGCGCGGGCAGGCTGTTGGAGGCCGGCGCCCTCAACGTCAAGGAGTTTTCCAGCTTCGAGGCGGGCGCGGCGGAGCAGCCCAAGGCGGTGTTCGTGGTGAGCAGCCTGCTGAAGGGCAGGGCGGTGGACATCATTCGGGACATCGTCAGCCTCAGCCGCTTCCAGTACTGCGTGGTGTTCACCGCTGTCAGCCACGCCGTGCACTTGTTGGCGCACGGGGCGCCTGGCGGCGCGGAGCCGGAGGGGGGCAGCCAGGTGGTGTTCGAGCAGTTCGAAGAGAAGCTGTGCCAGTGGATGGGCAACATGAACTACACCGCCGAGGTGCGGCATGCCCCCCTGCTTCTGGCGCCCATCTCGCCGCAGCTCTTCGTTACCCCAGCCTTTGCCTCGCTCTTCCCCTTGACGCCCCAGGACCTGGCTCGCATCAATGCTCCCAGGCCTGAGAAGAAAAAGTTGAGCAGTTTAAACGACCTGGACTTCTCCTCTCTACCTACTCAGCTGCAGCTTCAGATCAGGATCTTGGTGTCCGGCTTGAACTCCTTGTTTGAGTGCCTAAATGTGAGAGAGGAGTGCTTTGCAATTGGGACACTGAGCAGGATTATCGCAGGGGATTTGGCAAATTACTCACAGGCCAAAAACAGGAGGAAGACTGCACAAAACCGAGCCTCTGTCATCTTCATAGATAGGACATTGGATCTGACAGGTAAGAAGCTTATAGCATAAGTCGCTGATTACATCGTTGTGAGCCACACTTCATTTACCTTATTATGGTGATCACTGGACTTCCCAGTGTTTATGCAGATAGGTGTTTGCATACAAATGTAGCACTAGTTATAGTGGTCCATTGAGAGGGTGTAAGTAAGAGATGTGACTGCAAAGGCAGGGGCTTATGTTTTAAGCAGGAGACTGAATCATAAGTTTTGGATTTGGGTTCTGTAAGTTCTGTACCTGGTTCTGTCACTGATCTTTGTGCCACAGGTTCCCAGTTCTGGGGGAAGGAAAGGTGCAATATGTTGGAATGTATTTTATCATGATTAGGTACTTCCAAACCTTTGAATATAAAATGGTACATAAGGGCTAGGAATGTAAAGGGGATAATGTCACCTTAATGGGTGATGTTTATCAGATAACTGATTAACCAGTTAAAGATAACATTAACTTTTGAAGTGGGATTTAAAATCCCTAATAAGGGTAACACTTTTTTTTAATTAATAGGATCAAACCTGAGTGATATTTAATTTCTAGTTTTCAGAAGTTAGCTTTCATGGTAGAAGCTATTTTAGCAAATACAATAGGAAAACAAAACAAATCTCTGCTTGGGGAGAAAATAAAATAATATACATGCTGTATGTTAGGTATGTCACTTAATACACCGGCTCCCATGTAGCGGCCTGCCCAGCACAGCAGCAGTGGGGGAGCTGGAGGGAAGCGGGAAAGAGGAACTGCAGCCAACAGGAGCTTCAAATGGTTGTACCTCAGGGGGCAAACCGTGATGAACCCCATCCAGTCTATGGACTGGTTATTGCTCACCGCTTATTTAGTGCCTCTGCAATGGTGTTATCATTATCATCCTTAAGTTTTATTTTAGCATCTCAGTCATTCAGTGGCCCAACTGGTGGTTTAACAGGCTTCCTGCTTCTGATGTACTTCAAAAGCAACAGCACAATTTTTAGAGTCTTTGTCTATTCAATTTTTTTGGCTTCCTAATTGTATTTTATACTTTATTTACCAGAGTTTATGCTCCTTTCTATTTTTCTAACTAGGATTTAATTTCCACTTTTTTAAATGATGCCTTTGTCTCTTGCTGCTCCTTTTACTTTTAGTCACACAGCCACTTTTTTGGTTCTCTTACTATATATTTTAATTTGGGGTACACATTTAAACAGGGATATGAAAGTGTAACCTTGTACACAGTTAACCAAAGAGTCTGCTCCCTCCCCCCACCTCCGGGGAGCCACCAGTCCCCTACCCCCCTGCTGCGCTGCTGCCTCTGTATAAGAGGCAGCAGCACAGCAGGGGGAGATTGTCTGGAGCCAGTACAAGCGGACTGGCTCCCAGGGAGCCAATTGCCACCCCCTGTGTAACCATGTAACCGCTGAAAATTAAACTCTGGGTACTTAAAAGCATTTTAACATCCCTATATTTAATTTGAAAGTCTATGATATCTTTTAAAAGTTTCTATGTAGGTTACAGGGATTTCACTTTTGACACAGTACCTTTTTAATTTCTGTTTCACTAACTTCCTCATTTTTGTGTAGTCCTCTTTTTGAAAATTAAATGCCACAGTGATGCGTTGCTAAGGTGTTTTTCCTGGCACAGGGATGTTGAATTTAAATTTATTATGCTCACTATTACTAAGCAGTCCAGCTCATTTTATGGTTCTTTCATGCTGTGCATCTTATTTCTGTTATGCCAAAAATTAATTCAGCCTCCAAGGTGAGGATTTGCCATTGATATACATTATGATATTACAATACTTTCAGTACTCTTCTCTATTTGTGTTTTCTTGCTGGACTATGGTCAGTTTCATAGTTGTTCAGAGGGTGCTGAACAGCAGCTGTGATTTAGCATGATATTAATGTCAATGAGGTCAGTGAATGTTTGGGAAATCTATTAGCAGTTCACTGGTTCACATTGTAGCCCTTATGGTTAAACATGTGGCCTACTCAACCTTAATACTCTTTAACAAAAGTTTAGATTCTACTGAAATTGATAGCTTAAGTCCCCTACTCTGCAGGGAAAGTTTCCTACTTGCCACTGTGTTTTTCAAGTTCTGATGGATAACTAAAATGACTACTTGATCTGAGGAAGTGGGTCTGGCCCACGAAAGCTCATCATCTAATAAACCATCTTGTTAGTCTTTAAAGTGCTACATTGTCCTGCATTTTGCTAAAATGACACAAGTATCCGAATACTTCTTCTGTATTTTTACCATCTCTGAGAACTGCATGAGAACATACTCTGAGGAAAAAAGGAGCAATTGCTTATTACCACATTTTGAGACTGGTCAAGAAGAAAAAAGAACAAAGTTGTACCCCACACAATCTAACCATGTCTCCAGGCAACATCTCATAATCAAAAGCAGTCAACATATTTAACAACATTGGCATGGGTACTTGATGTGCATCCGTGGGCAGGGGAAAAATCATCCACCAGTGCAAACAGCTGTTTCTGTGCCAGTTTAGCATCTTGCCTACTAAAGATCAAGGAGATTTGAGGCAACAAAGTGCCAAAAGTTGTTTTGTCACCACCTTTCCAATAAGCTTAAATAAAAAGAGAGACGGAAAGAGTAGCATAGAGTTAGCCATATTGTGATTGCTAGTGCTTTTTTGAGAGAGAGGGATATTAGTGACTTCCACTTATTTAAAAAAAAAAATTTGTTTCTGGAGCAGCAGCCACATATCTCCACTAGAGATGTAATAGTGTAACCATTTACGTGATTAGCCAATAAGCATGAACTTATAGCTCATACCAGCTCCCAGCCACATGCCCTGCATCTGAGGCAGCAGGGCAGGGTGGGAGCTGATGTGTGCCAGAAGCCGGCTTAAAAGCCAGCTTCTAGCATGCAGTGGCTCCCGGGGAGCTGCCCTGCACTATGGGCTCTGTAGTATAAAGCTTATAATATAATACTGGATAGCCTCTTTTCAAAACTAAGAAAACACACATTTTTAAATATTGAAGCTAACAATATCCTCTCTCCAGAAATGTAACGTTTTTTTTACTTGTTTTTACCTCCCCTATTTGTATCTGAACTTTATTTCTTTATCTTTTTTTTTCCCCAGGGGCAGTTGGACATCATGGTGACAGCCTAGCTGAGAGAATTTTCTCTGTGCTTCCCCGACTTCCTGGCCACACAAATGATGTGATGGTTAATATGGTGGAGCTCACTGCACTGCAGACTAAAGATGAAACTTGCAGTATTATAGCACCTGGCTGCTTGGCACAACCCAAGTAAACTGGCTTTCTTTTCTTTTTAAATTTATAGACTTTTTTGTGTGATACAGGAGGAGAGAACAGTAACATATGTCCAGAAAAATGGAAGATGATGGTTTTAGTGCTATTGTAATTCTGAAATAATAAACCATACATACAGCTGTGGTTGAAATAAGCTCCCGATAGAGGCAGGATTTCAGTTTTTTTTCTTCAGATTAAGCGTATTTTTTTTTTTAAATTAAAACAGTACAAAATAAACCAAAACAGATAAGACCGGTTCTGCTGCTTGGTCCTCCCTAAAGCCTCTACCTCACAAGACATCTGCTCCCACATATTGAGTATTTCTAGCCTGGTATTCCAGCTAGCTGGGGTGGAGAGGCTCCTTCCAGGTTCTGTCTTCTCTACAGAAACCTTCCTGAGCTGCTTGCTGGCCTCTCACCTGAGGCTGGAAATCACCTGATCCTGTCACCTCACTTGCAGAGGGAGTTAATTAGGCACAGGTGGGGCTAAATTCACCTTTCTTCAAAGGCCACTTTGCAATGACAAATAAAAACAATAACACTTAAAAGAAACAACTTTTGTTTTATTTGCCTGTGTTTAATTGAGAACTAATATTTTTATTTTTGCATATATAGTGTGCCTTACTTTATTTTAAATTTTTAGATGTGATTGTAGGTTTGTGAATTGCTGTTACTACAGCTACTGTTACGGTATGAAAGCAGTGCATAACATCTGTCTGCCTGTGTGTAAAAATAAAAGCTCACTAGTTGTTTTTATCTTACAGAAAGATAGTTTTGCTCTGCAAGTCCTAGGGTGGGAATCAGTTCGCTAGGTCATTTCCCTTTTCCACCACATCCCCACTTGTCTTGGAAAATGATTTTTGAGGAGAGTTGTATTTTGTTCCTTCTGCACTGACAACTTTTGGCTTGTGTCTCTTCTCGCCTTCCCCCTGGATATTTTGCAGAGGACATCCCAATCTATTACATTTCATCATATAACCTTCACTTTATAGGATTCCTATGTGCCTGCTACCCTCTCCCAGCTCCAACCTCAGTCTAGTTAGGTGCAGCTGAGTAATGCAAAGCTGTATGTTTCTTTAGTCTGCTCTTCAGAGGGTAGAGGGGGATACATTTGCTGAGCTAGGTGGTCTTTACCTTTACCTAGGCAGTTACTGCTTTGATGACCAGGGCTGTAGAATCCCGTTTTAAATGTTAACCAGTTCAACTATAGGTTGAACTGGTTAACCAGCCTGCTGAATTGCATTGTGGGCAGGGGTCTGGTGCAGCAGACCCTTGCCCGCTGCAAAGCACTGTGGACCCAGCTGCACTGGATCAGCTACCACCCATGGTGTGGTGGGCTCAGCCAGGCTGGTGTGCCACTCTGCCTATGGTGTGATGAGCCCTGCTGGGTGCTAGTTAATTGCTTATCTAGGTAAGCAATGCTTACCTTTACATCCCTACTGATGACTGAATTAGCAAAAAGAAACCATTTGTTGGATCTTCACCAAACATTTTCCATGGTGCTATCTGGTCTTTGAGTCACACTTTTAAGAATATGTTTCAAGGGGTAGCCGAGTTAATCTATACAGGATAAACTTAAAAAACAACAAATGGTCTGGTAGTCTATAAAGTGCTAACAAAACATGTAAATGGTATCATGAGCTTTCATGGGCACGAAAACCACTTAAGGCTTCCTCACACTCTAGGAAACAGCTCGATTCTGCTGAGTTATTGTAAAGCAGATTCTAGGGAGGCTATTAGCATCTTTTATACTCTCTTTGTTCTGTTGCTAGCTGGAAATGTTTTTGTTACAGCCATGTTTATATTTCTACACATAACTCACAACTGGAGAAGTGTTACATGATCCAAAAAGTTCACTCCCCAAATCAGAATGCTATTCTGGATCATGAAGACCTAGTTTAAAGAATGAAATATTTGGAAACAGTTTTCAATTACAGCTGGCATTTCTGACATAGTTCAAGATATTTTGCTGAAAGTAGGAAAATCTGTGACATCATTGGAATGGAAGTTTAACTATTTTAAACTAGTTTTATTCTTCCATACAATTCTTTTTAAAAATATAACATTACAAACATTGACCAGTGTGAAATGCCGATGTCCTGAAATACTGAAATTGATCAACAGTCCCTTACAATGAGCTTCCAAACTGGTGGTGCTGTTAGTGATCTCACTGTTCATCAAAATGGCTGTTACAAAGGCTAGCAAGCTCAAAAATGCTAGTTATACTTAAAAACAAGAGCATACAATTTATGCATAGCAAGCTTACGCATAGCAAGAAGTGTTTCTCTGCTTGTAAATTTTCTAGTTACTGCATAGAGGGAAGGTAGTGGCACTTCTGCCAGGGGAAAAGACCAGTAATTTCATTTGGCACAGTAGTGGATAGAGTGGGGGCTCTTTACACCAGGACTGGGCAAAACATGGCCTGGGGCCTTGGTCTGGCCTATCATGCCACTGAATATGGCCTGCAGATCACCCTGCCAGGAACTTTAGGCACTCAGCTGCCAAAGTTTAAAGTGCAGTCCCTATGTTTCTGTGCTCTGCAGGGAGAAAGAAGTTTCATGTGATCTCCCTGCCCCCCAGCCCAATCCTCGGCTCCTATTGGCCCAACCAACCAATAAGAGCTGATCTCAGCCATTCTGTCTGCTCCTAGTGGCTGGAAACAGCCAGCCAATTGCAGCTGAGAGATTCCCCTAGGAGATGGGGGCAGTGCAAGCCTCTTCCCCTACCTGGAGTTGAGAGCCACATGGAAGGATTTTGAAGCGACCTGGAACTGCAGCAGTCAGGGAGCAGAGCCTGCCTTGGGGTGCTGCAGGGCTGCTGTCTGGGAGATGCGTAGATAAGTGCCTCCCAGCCAGAGCCTGTGTCTGGCAACCCTGCCCCTCCTGCACCCCAACTCCCTCCCCCAGGTCACCATCCAAACCCTCTGCACTCCCCTGTCCCAGCTCACAACTCCCTCCCAGATGCCTTCCCCAGGCCAGAATCCTCTTTTTCACCCGAACACCCCCCACAACCCTATTTCCTGACCTAGGTCACAACTACCTCCTTTACCCAAACTCCCTCTCAGACTTCATACAGTCTCCTGCACCCCAGTCCCTTAACCCGTGTGCCTTTCTGCACCCAACCTCCCCCGTAGATCCTCCACAGAAAATTGTGTCCCTTGACCGCTTACCAAAATCTTGGAGTGACCACTTACCAAAATCTTGGAGTGGCCACCCAAAAATTATTGCCTACCTCTGCTTTACACAATGGCTTGAGGACAGCTGTGCCAAATCCAATGGCATTTAACAAATGCTGACTTCTAAATTCAGAATATTTTCAAATACTTAAGTGGGATTTTTTTTCTGAGTTAATACTCAAATATATTGTGGGGGGAAGAGGAGAACAGTCTCTTCTGTCAATGCAGCCTGCAGTACTTAACATGTTTAAGGAATGTTTCTCCAACAGAAACATCTGGGCTCCGTTAAGGGGTTAGCAAACAGAATTGATGAATAATTTATAGCTGCTGTGGTGAAATAAAGCAGGGTTATTTTCTTAAACGTAAGGAAATAATGGGCTTCTTTAAAGATTTAAATACCATATGCTGCTTAAGTTATTATACTTTGAAGGTGATCTCTTGACACAGGTAGTTCAAGGATTGCTTTTTTAAAATTTTCAATTTTTGTAGTATTAGTAATACAAAACAAGAGGAAAACATTTGCATTATTACAATTATGGACACATTTGTGTTCCAGCATGTGTGGTTGCTAATCAAGAAATATTTGAAAGGATATTCCAAGACTCTTTTCTAAGTTAAAGAAAGAAACAGTTCATGGAATGAGAACAAAAGACCTCCATGTTGAATCCGTACTGTGTGATGCTTCATTTTCTTTAAAGCTGAAAAACCTTGCTTTTTCAGATAAATAATGTACAATATGAGTGAAATAAGAAACAGAGACACTTTTTAAAACAAAAAGTGTGATATTGCTGGCACCTTGGTCTTAGCATTGAGATGACTTGTGGAATACGTTTGGAATCAAGAAGCTTTAGGGGGTAGCTGAGTTAGTCTGTATAAGATAAACTTAAAAAAACAACAAATGGTCTGGTAGCATTTATAGACTAATAAAACATGTAGATGGTATCGTTCATGAGCTTTTGTGGGCACAGTCCACTTCTTCAGTAAAATGCTGGTCTTCTGAAGAAGTGGGCTGTGCCCACAAAAGCTCATGAATGATACCAGTTACATGTTTTGTTAGTCTATAAAGTGCTATCAGACCATTTAGTTGTTTGTTTTTTGGAATCAAGTTGGTATTTAAAACCATTTTACTTAAAGACAATGGCAATTCTTTGGGGGCACTTTGTGCCCTCTTTGGATGAATATTTGGGTGCTGTTGACTTTGTTTTGTCCACTTGAGGGCAGAATTTGGTCATTTACTTCAAGAAAAAAGTGCCAGGTTTTTTTTTGGTTTTTACCTGTTTTCCCCATTACCATAGTATCTGATCATCTGAAAATTATTCATTCTGACAACATCCTGAGCTGTTGATGAGGCACAGAGGCTTAGTGATCTGTTCAAGGTCACATGGAGATAGTCTGTGAATATAGAGATTTGCACCCAGGGCTCACAAGTAAGGATGTTAAAATGCAGTTTATTTTACTAATGGAGTAGTCAATACAAATTCTTACTTGATTAATCAACAGGGGAAGGCAGCTGGCTTAGTCCTGGCTTGTGCTGGGACCAAACCCCACTGTGGTTCTGCAATTTAAAATGCAGTAGTAGCAGGGGAGCCTTGCCAGCTCTCCCCCGCCCCCCCCCCCCCTGTGGCTCCTGCTGCTTTTTAAATTGCAGAGCCACAGTAGGGTTTGGTCCTGGACCCAGCACAAGCCAGGACTGAGCTGTCTCCCTACCCTGACTGGCTCCTACTGCCTTTTAAATGCAAAGCTGCCCAGGTTCTGCTTTTAAAATGTAGTAGAAGTTGGGCAGGCAGGCAGTCTGGCTCAGCCCTGACTTGTGTCAGGTCTGT